CTAATTATCATATGTTCTTATGCATCTAACTTTAAGGCTATTATAGTAGCTTTTTAGTAAGAACCAAGACCAGTATTTTTATATTTTATATTTCACTTTTTCATATTATTATTTATTTATTTATATTTTCTCATACACCTTTTAGCTGTTTTTTATCAGCTATTACAAGATTTTAGCTAAATAGTTTCCCCTGTTTATTTTCCTTTTTATTGTGTTTTTTTTTTTTTTCCTATATAGGTTGCTGCACTCACAACTATATGTCCCACAAGTCATTGCGGTTACACTTCCGGTTCCTGGAAGTGCCGCATATTTTACAACTTTCCCCTGCTCGTTTTTATGTAATTTTAACATCATGGGACTTGTCTCCCCACAAGTAACCCTATCTATAATTTTTTTTATTTATTTTTTTTTATTTTTTCTAGCTTCCATTTTTAGATCACCTTATGGGGAACTACAATACCCATAAGGCCGTGCGGCTATACTGCCGAAAACCGGAAGTGATGATTATCACATGACCAATTGTGTCTTTATTTTTATAATCCTTCTCATCCTCGTTTTTAATAAAAAACACTGAATATGCCTCATTAACCAGTGGCTTTTTAGTAGGAAATCAGCTATTACAAGATTTTAGAAAAAAAGATTTTAGCCAAATAGTTTCCCTTATTTCTTTTCCTTTTCCTTTTTTTGTTTTTTGTTTTTTTTTTCCCTATATAGGTTGCTGCATTCACAACTACATGCCCCACAAGTCATTGCGGTTACACTTCCGGTTTTCGGAAGTGCCGCATATTTTACAACTTTCCCCTGCTCGTTTTTATGTAATTTTAACACCATGGGACTTGTCTCCCCACAAGTAACCCTATCCTTTGTTTTTTTTTTTTTTTTTGTTCTCTTTTATTAGCTTCCGTTTTTAGATGGCCTTATGGGGAACTACAATACCCATAAGGCCGTGCGGCTATACTGCCGAAAACCGGAAGTGATGATTATCACATGACCAATTGTGTTTTTAATTTTAGAATCCTTCTCATTTTCGTTTTTAATAAAAAACCACTGAATATGCCTTATTAACCTATTTACTATCTGAGAATAATTTAATACTGTTAATTTGAGATGTAAAAAAGTATCTTTATTCTGATTGGCCGAAATTTTTTGGCGCCAATTTTAAATTGAACTATGTCTATATAAACACTATCTGCCAGGTTTTGTATTATATTCCATTTGATAAAGTCTGTTAGACGAAACGCGTTATGGAAATTTAATTTTGTATAATAAATATTAAAGTTTTTGGTTAACTGATAGTCCCAACTACTTTTATTTATACATGTACCCTGGCTATTTATCGTTTTAGTTCATTGTTATATTTTATATATACTCTATTCCGATTTTAATACTATCTCTACAAGTTCCTGACAACCAAAGAAATCCATAGGTGGGGATTATTCCACCAGCGCTGACATCAAAGAGCAGTTGGTCTGCTCTGTACTTGTAAGTACGTTTTTTTTATTCTCTTTTATAATATACACTTATACAGAGAGCACTATTTGGCTGTTTCTGTTTCCTTTGAGTTTTGGATACCCTGACGAACCCATCATAAATCCCATAAGCGGGGATTATACCGCTGTGTGCGCTTTACCCTAGAGCTGGACAGAAGCTCTGGAAATTGTGAGTTCGTTATCATTAATCAATTTTTACTTCATTTGAACCGTACATTCTGCACCATCGTTTGTTCTCTCCTTTTATCTTTTATATATTACCTGAAGATCGCGTTCCTGTACCTAAAGACGACAGAGAGGATACCTTTTTAGGTCGGACTTTTTATCTTCAATAACTATTGATACTGGACACTGTTTATTCTGGCGCAGCCCTCCTTTTATATTTTGCTTTTATCCTGTATTTTAGGGTTTTGGGGGGATTCCCTTGTTGGGTTGCTGCCTTACTGGTTGTCTGGCGCTGTCTCTTTTCCTTTATTTATTTTACTCTTAGTCATGATGCAGAGTTTTTGATTGCAAGGATAACCAGACCTAATTCACCTGGTTATCCAAATAAATACTCCTATTGTTTAGAGTGGTTAATTATATAATAACCATTGAACATAATATGTTGGTTGTTCTTCCTATAAAGGAAAGAGGGACTTGCCCTAAAAGCTTATTCATGGCTAGGACAAGCTCATATAGATAGAGGTAATATACTTCTAACTCCTGAAAAGGAATATTGGTGGCCCAATATGGGAAATGCTGTAGTTCATGTGTTTAGTAATTGTAAGCATTTGCTTATTGATAACTAGGCTACATTACTGATGTACTGTTTATTGAAATATTAATATTGAACGTACTTTTGAATTACTACATATTGGAAGTTTGCCAACATTTCATGGTTATAAATATGTTTTTGTAAATGTTGATGCATGTACCAGGTTTACTTGACTATATCCTGTGCGAAGTGCAACCTCTGATACCACGTTTGCTAGTCTCACTTCCTTACTATGCATTTGGTAATCCCAGGACCATCCACTTGGATGGTGGTCCTGCAGTTACTGCAAAGGAAACCCAAAACTGGGCAACTACATTTGGGTTACTTTGGGAATTCAGTGCACCCAACCACCCCCTAAGTAGTGGGGTTGTGGTCTGGGAAAAATGCCGAGGTTAAATGACTATTAACCAAGTTACTAGTTGCTTGCCCCCCACACAGTGGTATCTTCTTATTCCTATGGTACAGATGAGCATTAACAACATACCTGATACAAATGGTGAGACACCATATGATATGTTACACATTTTTCAGGTCAAACTGGCCAACAGTAGGAAAAAGGTGGTGGTGCATGGTGAGGTGGGCTGGAAAAAAAAAATCCCTAAATTTCTCTAATAGAAACAATGGTTCTAAGCTCTCCCTGGTGCAGAAATCATATTTAGGGAAAAAAAAATTTCCAGCCCACCTTACCATGCACCACCACCTTTTTCCTACTGTTGGCCAGTTTGTCCTGGAGAGGGTGACTCTAAGAACTCTTACTACAGAGAACAATCAGAGCAAACAGAGAACAGTCAAAGGATCACTATAGTGTCAGGAAAACTAAGCAGTTTTCCTGACACTATAGTGCCCTGAGGGTGCCCCCACCCTTAGGGTCCCCCTCCCACTGGGCTGAAGGGGTTAAAACCTCCCCTCCCCGCCAACGTCACAGGATCCGAATGCGAATGCGCATGCGTGGCAAGTGCCGTGCGCGCATTCAAGCTGTCAATAGGAAAGCATTTTTCAATACTTTCCTATGGATGCTCTGTGTGATGGAGGCATAATATGCCTCCAGCGTCGCAAATGCGCCTCTAGTGGCTGTCCGGAAGAAACTGCTATGTTTGCATCTGCAGGGTTAAAACCTGAAGGACTTGGCACCCAGACCACTTCATTGAGCTGAAGTGGTCTGGGTGACTATAGTGTCCCTTTAAGTTTTGATATTTTAAAACCTGCTAAGTACTTCCAAGATGTTCACAGAACCACTGACTGACACAATGGTTGTGTTAAAGAAAGCAAGATGAAACAAACAGAGGACAACAGAAATGCCATCAGAACACAGCCACCAGAATCATAGCAACGAAACAGACTGAATCATGATCTGACATCTGAACCTGCAAATGTGAAGGAGAAAAATGAACAGACAGACGTGATACATTCACAGTTAACTTGGAATATATGAAAAATGAATCATCAACATCATTATCAGAAAGACTCTGGAGAAAGCAGATCGTACCTGAATTATCTTATACAGTAAGAAATGCAAAAATGTAAGCAAAAGGATGCTAGAAAATTGGTTATGGTGTCTCCTTCTTACAATCTGCAACATTATCATAACATCAACCCTAGCTGTCTTTTTTACACTGCATTGGTATTAACATGCAAGAAGCACCTGAACTGAATTGGACTGCACATAATACAAGTTCTATGATCGTGAGGATAACCTCCAAGAACTATTTGAAAAGGAGAGACACAGCTTACAGTGAAATGATTACTAATGTGACCTACACTGGTATTTCACAAGGAACCTATTGAAGATAATTCCAAAAAACGATTATGCATGAGAAAGATGTGATTGGACTATTTCAAATCCTAATAATGGACTCAACGATGATGGCAAAGCATGTTGAAATCAGAAAAAAATGGAACAGATACTTGTGAAAGACTTTGAATGACTACTGCAAACAGCCCTCTTATGCAGAAAAGAAGTGCTATGCTAATTCTTGACATTGCTATTATGTTTCCAGACAGAAAATGACTGGAAAAAGAAATAAAGACGGATAACTGTCAACACCCAGCTATTTCTCAAGATGGAACATAGTACTGAGAATACCTGATTGACTGTAAAGGAATGCACCTTGAATCCAAGGCTCAAGCTTGTAGGCCCCATAAGTGTTGTCCTATATTAAAATTGGCTAACTTGGAATCATGTATTGCCCTGTGCTAAAAGTGAACTTAGAGTGAAAACCGTATTGGAACCATATTCTGTAACAATGAACTTTACAATGACATTTGATGGCTTGTGAATTTGAATGTGGAAGAAACCTTGATGCAATTAATAAATAATAACAAGACAGGCCTACTAAGAGCAGAAGCCCTGCCAAGAGAATGGAATATAAAAGGCCAGCAAAACCTTTCAGAAATTTGACAACTGCAATAATGAATAATGTTTTAACCATAAAAGAAAATGTAAAATGTTTTTATTAAATCAGAAACTATTTGATATTTGTTTAAGTTTCCAGAGTGGTATGATTAATATAATCTAATTAATATAAGTGAAGTACTTCAACGGTTAAAGGGACACTATAGTCACCTGAACAACTTTACCTTAATGAAGCAGTTTTGGTGTATAGAACATGCCCCTGCAGCCTCACTGCTCAATCCTCTGCCATTTAGGAGTTAAATCCCTTTGTTTATGTACCCTAGTCACACCTCCCTGCATGTAACTTGCACAGCCTTCCATAAACACTTCCTGTAAAGAGAGCCCTGTTTAGGCTTTCTTTTTGCAAGTTTTGTTTAATTAAGATTTTCTTATCCCCTGCTATGTTAATAGCTTGCTAGACCCTGCAAGAGCCTCCTGTATGTGATTAAAGTTCAATTTAGAGATTGAGATACAATTATTTAAGGTAAATTACATCTGTTTGAAAGGGAAACCAGTTTTTTTTTTTTTTCATGCAGGCTCTGTCAGTCATAGCCAGGGGAGGTGTGGCTAGGGCTGCATAAACAGAAACGAAGTGATTTAACTCCTAAATGGCGGTGAATTGAGCAGTGAAATTGCAGGGGAATGATCTATACACTAAAACTGATTTATTTAGCTAAAGTAATTTAGGTGACTATAGTGTTCCTTTAACATTTAACTGAAAGACAGGCAGAAATTTTACTTCACTTATTACAAACCTTTATTTATAATGATAAACATGATCAGTCTGCCAGAAGTAAGGTCAGACAATGGAAGGTAAAAAGTATTATGGATTAACCCTTCCAGGTGATATACATGATGAATTTGGAAATTGATAACTTAGGTCACCTATGTAAACTGGTGAAAAGACGTGAAACATATAAATTCAACATCCATACCACTATATGTATATATATTAAAATACATGTGATAAAATGTTTTATTTATCTGTTTTTCAAATACCAGGAAAATGTTATTTGGTTTGTGATGATTCAAGCTAAATATACTTTATGGTAATGATCCTGCCACATATATTGATTGTTTAATCACTACATCATACATATGATTATTAATTAATATTCTGATTGTAACCTACCCCTGTCACGGCAAGGGTGTATAATTTATTATTACACTATGGAATATCATCCGTTAATGTACAAATTGCAGAGATGCTATTGCTCAGGTCAACAGGGGTTACATATTTTGAAGCTGGGACCCCCACAGAGGTCAGATGACAGAAGGGGTAGTGTGAATGGCATAGCAATGTGAAAAGGATTTTAATATATGGATGTGGAGGAATCAAGTATCTGCAAGGTGTGAGGTTCTACACTTGGAAAAGTCTGAATGTCTCTTCATCCATTTGGCATGTACCTTGTAAAGGATAGTTCAATCCTTTGAAATGGTAATGGGATTCGTTTCATGAAGATCCTTGTGTTCCAGTATCTTATCCAAGTGAAACATTCATACTTACCCACAGGTTAATAATTAAGCCTCATTTTTATTATATTTGGAATGGGACAAGCCCAATCTTTTAATTAAGCCCAAACATGAGTTGCACAACTTAAACCGTGTGGCAGGACTTGTTATATCAGTCCTATTGGGTGCGTGCAACATGTCTTTGGAATGGGAAAACAATAACAAATTCATAGAGGCAATTATTATTTCTGTGGCAAGTACAGTAGAGGAGATAAAACCAAAAGTTCGTATGTGGCTTGTTGGTTTCTGGAACAAAGGAGGTGTTCACCTAGTATCCCTATTGCTCCACCCCTGGATGAGGCGTGGCAATTCACAGGGTATATCTCCTGTGATTCTGAAGGGTGTTTGTGTACTTGCTTGGGGCCAAGATCTAATTTTGAGTGAGTCACCATCTTTCCTTGCCAGAGACCCCTGGACAGAAGTTGTACTTTGAAAACCTAAGTGAGTAATTAGGACTTCTGTATTTTATCCTTTTTGTTTTTATCTGTTGTTGGTGTAAATAATTTGTTTATCATATATTTTTTATATGCACCGTGACTATCTTTTGCTCATAATAAACATTCATTTATTAAGTTTTGCCTTTGTCTGGTTAAGAATCACAATACCTGAAGAGACTAGTTAGTATTTTTGCAATAACTTAAATATTGTACTAAGTAATATTTGGTGGGTTTTATTATTGATTTACCTGGGGGACCAAGGCACCCCATTTATAAATTGTCTTGGTGGTGGCAGCGTTAAAATAGTAATAGTTATATTATTATGTTTAAGTGTGGGTGGTGTTAAAGGGGGATTTTGTCATTATTTCCGGTCTAGTGCAGACAAATAGTGAACTTTAACCCTTTCACAACCACTACCACGTCACGCGCACTCGTGGAGTAGGGTGCGTTCGTGACAACCCCCACTTGAACCAGTTGTAGTTACAACAGATTCTGAAATATATTATTATTGTTAAAAAAAATGTGTTAAAAAACACTTAAACAAAGGTAGAGTTAAAATATAAATACCTTCAATATTGAGTGCTTTCTTAACTCACTTTTAGAAATAATAAAAAAATTCAAATCATCTTAAGCTACACCCAACAGCCGCTGAAAAATATACTTAGACAAATAAGATTTATATTGTTAAGCATCCAATCTCACAAACATGACTTTCCATAATGGCTGTCAGATCTTGGTAAAAAAAAAAATTTAAGACACTTTTTGGGTGTTTCTGGTATTTTAATTAATTATTATATGTACTTATTGTAACTTAGGGAATAAGTTGTCTTCTCCCTAACAGGACAAAGAAAGATGAGTAATGTCATGTTTCCAATTATCAACTATTCTGAATAGATTGATAGATTTTGAATAAAAGTGTATTAACATTTAAAGAGAATGTCATTTTACATACCAAGGCAGTAAATACTTTGCTGCTTCAAATTGTCCTTATATATCTAAATCATTTACAAGGGTGTTTATCTTTAAAAACAAAATACTAGAAAGATTAACTATGTTACTATTTCATCTATCATTATTATACAAAGTATAACAAATGTAAAGATTTTTCCACAGATTTTACCTGTTAACATTTTTAGCACAACAGCACCTGATGTCAGTGAGATGTCCATCAGTGAGATGTAGAGGCGTTACAAAGATTCCAATACAGCAAAAAGAGGTGTTCTTGAGATACCACTTCAATTGCTGTATCAACATAACATTTACTATAATGGGAACAATGTCACTTAAGACAATGTCTTGGAAATGCTATCAATTCATTTATTCCATAAAAGAATATTGGAGAGTATCCAATCTATACACATCATAAACGGTGTAAAAATTTTTCATGTTAAAAACAAAATAAAGAAAAAAGACAAAGACAAATAGCAACAGCATCACCAAGCTGATAACAGATGATGTTGATTCAATATCTGCAACCAATTCCAGCCAAATATTTGGATAACTATACTCTACAGCCAATACTATACAACTAATACTTAGGTATTCTACAAACACAACCTTCAGCAATGTATCTAAGGAATGTAAACTTCTACAGGCCTTTAAAGACTTTGGATTACAAATACAATTACTACTTTTAACTTTGGATTACAATTCCTAGCAGGAATCATCCAAGAATATTTTACTCTGGAACCTGATGTTCTTTTCAATTCTTTCCCAGATAAAAGCTTTGCTTATTTTAATCAACTACCTTTACATGCAAAGATCACACTACGGATGTTTTACCGCTACAACAATGATCAAAGATGCTGGGAGCATACAAACCCAAAGACTGTTGGAGACCTTTGGTTTACTAATTTAAGGAAGAAATGCTCTACAATGCCCACAGTTCAATGGAGAGGGTGTTATGGGCAAATGCAAATATTGTTTTCCTCAAACTGTGAACTTTGTCTTTAAGAGATATTGTAAACTGACAAGGTGTTAGAAATGTAACGTATTGTTTTTCATACATATTTCTTTAACCCCTTCAGGACGGAGTCAATAGTACACGTTCTGATCAAAACAAAATGTAAACAAAAACTGGAATTTGCGCAATATATCTGTTTACCCGTAGTTCACCTCTTTCATATTAAGTGCACCCACACTTATTATATATAATTTTGTTCAGGAGAAACAGGGCTTTAACTTCTCATGAACTATTCATATATGAAACATAACTTATTATGAATAAAATAAAAAAAACTGTGAGAAATTTTAATTTAAAAAAAATAAATTGTAGTTCCGTCTCACATTTTAGCTGTAAATGTCATAATACTGTTAGCTTTTATTGCAAAAAAAGCACATATTTGGATTCAGCAAAGTCTCACGAGTACAACAGTAGCCCCTATTAACAGTTTTTACATTGTTTTGGAAAGTTAAAGGGTCCAATATAGCACATTCCATTTTTCACTTTTTTCACACTGAAATTTGCCAGATTAGTAACGTTACCTTTGAGATCGTGTGGTAGCCCAGGAATGAGATTTGGAATGAGATTTACCCCCACGATGGCATACCATTTGCAAACGTAGACTACCCAAGGTATTGCAACTAGGGTATGTCCAGTCTTTTGTAGTAGCCATTTAGTCACACACAGTGGCCAAAGTTAGCATTCATATTTGTTTTTGTGTGAAAAAAGCAAAAAACTAATATTTGGCCAGTGTTTGTGAGCAAGTGGCTACTAAAAATGACTGGACATACCCCATATGCAATACCTTGGGATTACCTTGCAATACGCTCATTGCACTTTGAAAATATCCGTGGCAACTTCTACAAATCCAAAGACGGGGATTGTACCGTCCAGGCGCTTCACAGCAGAGCTCTGTTATAGCTCATCCAAATGTGAGTGGACTGTACATAGCCACAAATTACCTGTCTTTAAGATAAAATTTACTGTATTGCACTATTATTTTTTATCTTAATTCTTTTCCAAGGTTACGATTATTTGGAATATTCAAGGATACATGTATGTATTTTTTACATATATAAACCACTAGGCGCGGTATACGCTCTTTTTTCTGTTTTTCTATCACTCACAGGGTTGGGGAATCCTTGTCTGTATACTGCTGCCTGACCACTATAGTGAGCGCCTATTATTTTTATTTTTCCAACTACTATATATATTCCCTATATAGGCAGCCCTATAGATTGTTCCAATATGTCTCTATTTGAATATCGAGACAATTATACTATCAACATTAATGATGTCTTTAATGAATTAGAAGAAATGAACACTAATGAGCCATTAATTGTTTTTGATAATTTACCAGAATTATTAAAAGAATTACAATTCTCTTTAACAAAAGAAATGAAATTAAGGTGGGAGATTGCAACATTGACTAAATATATAGAAGAAAAAATAACTCCTAGAGGCCTTAGGTTGTTTAAAATGCCCACCTCAGATGCTGAAAATAAAACGTTTATGGAGGAATGGTATAACCACCTAGAGTATTGTACATTTGGATTGATGAAAAGTCTCATCAAAGTCAAAAATGAGAAGTTATCTGTAATAGATAAAAAAAATTAATACACTACGAGAACAACTAATTCCCTTTGGAGATACCGAGGAGTACTATAATGCATCACAAAAAAATTTAAAAAACTGTAGAAAAAATTGAAATTGACACAAGGAAGATAAAAATTCAAAAATATAACCGAGATAAATATGACT